TAGAGGTAGAAGGGTCGTTGTTCATCACGACAAGTATCTTTTAAACTGGCCAGGTATTGATGAAGCTTTAATTCGAGAGGTCAAAAGCCAAATGATATCAACGCTAGTTGATAAGGCGAATGAGATGTAAAGTGTTGTAACTTGGAAAACATTATTTTTTATTTTTCTTTTTTTACTATTTTTATGAACATAAGTATAATACATAAGTATCGTCAATTTGATATATAAGTAAATTAACAAAAATCTACCCATATTTGAAATAAATAAAACATAATATTAAAACTTTTATTTTTTAAGAAAGCAAACAAGCGCCAATTGAGCTAGTTGAAAGGTTGCTTTTGCAAATAAGGGAAATACAGAAGAGGTTTTTTTCCTCCTGTAGTTCCCTAACCAGTCGAATCTAAGGAAGGGGACATTACATACATTTCTTACTTAGTCTATTTGAGTGTTTTGTCTTATATGGGACATTTTTTTGCAATATCGATATGCAACTAAATGTTAAAAAAATCGTTTATTATCCTAACATTCTTATCCAATCAAGTTTATTATTTTCTATCATAGTAATACTGTGAAAAAATTTTTTGCGTTTTTTTCTCTTTTTAGAGTTACAACACTTTATCATTATCCCGTCAAACTAAACAATAGTTCATTTTATTCGAGATAGCTCAGTGTAAACGCGAAGTAAGTGGTCAGTGGTCAATTACATACAAATGGTAAGTAAATAAGATTATAACATCCAATATTGCCGAGTCCTGTCATCACACCTACAAGTTCAAAGGCATATAAAGTTGTTGTCAAGGGCATATAAAGTTAACTAGTTAGTAGTCACACGCTGTAAAGTATTCTATAAAACGCTAAATGTTTCCTTTAAAATTTTTTTGATAAACTTTAGTAAACCAGAACCAAAACTACATCCTGTACGTATCATCATTACATAAAGCTACTCTAAGTGAATCCCTTAGTGTACCTTTATGTTTAAGAAACTTGGTATTAAACCAGTGAGTGGCAGTAAATCATTTTTGTTTGTCCAGGGCGGCGGTGGTCTGAGCGTTGGTAGCGCGGGCGGGAGCATGCGAGCGGGTGCGGGAACGGGGCAAGGCGTTACAGAGTCGTGCGTGGAAGTTGGGGGCGCGGCGCTGGAGGACGGCGCCAGCGGACTGCAGGTGCGCCGCGGGAGCGAACCCTCACTGCACCAGGATACTATGCCGCCGCAGAGACAGGTCAGCATCAATGGACATCAACTATTACCTTATCAGTCAATGGCCACTTTGTGACGGCGGTTAATGCTACAGAGGGGGTTGGATCTATGCTTTCTATATTCGTCAAATGGGCTTTAAGAAATTTAAGTTAGAAGACGTACTTGGAGTAATTGTAATATAACGCCTTTTGTTGTGCTTAAACCTATTTGTTGGTCGTGTAAGTCGTGAATAATAAAAGAAGAACAAATATATTCATATGTATCTTTTACTTTTCGTATACACAAACCTATTTTATCCATTTATCGAACTCAGCCTCATGGGAGCTCTGTCAGGTTCATTGCACAGTCCGACGTAGATATCAGTTGACTTTCCATTTAACGCAGCGATAACGTATCTAGGTAAACCAGTTATTTTTCAGCCCCAACCCACTGTCAATACACGATATGACAGAATTATAACCGGTCTTTGAAGTTGTTTTACCTAAAGGTACCGATATTGGTAATTGATACACTTGGAACAACTTGAATCTCAGGGTTAATGATGTGAACTAAATTAATCTACTATGTTTTACAGTAGGTTGGACGTATGGATGTTGGTTATCACGTAATTCCAGGTATGAATATGTTTGTGTAGGTGTGTGAGCAGACGAAGCGCTGGTCCGCGGCGGTGGTGTGCCGCGAGGAGACGCGCGCGCCGCCGGACGCCGAGCGCGCGCCGAACGGACAGCACTTCCAACGGCACTCCAACAGACTCTCCATGCAGTTCTCCGGACCTGGGTATACTAAGAGATCCCTCCATTTCACATTTAATGTGTGTTGTGTGTAACTAACCAAAGTCAATATTATGAATTTCTAGAAGTGGCGTTTGGTTGGACGCGGCAGAGAGAGTACAAATCTACGGCAGCAAGAGTTTGCCCAGAGACGCTCGCAGAGAGCCCCTGGGGCAGGACACGTCCGTTGACACACATCAAAATCAAAACCACAGGTAATACAAAATATTAAACAAAAATTATTTTTACGTCTTTCTTGAATTTAAAATTGTTGCAACTATGTTGATGAAGTCCCTAAGATTACCATATCGTATTTCAGAGTGGAAGACATGTTGCGATGGGTGTCGGGTGTAAATAACGTCTCCAGCGAACCTCTCGGACAAGAACGCCAGTTAGATCTCCTTCCTGAAAGTAAGTATTAGTTGCTTTCCTTCATAACTTCAATAGCAGAAGAAGTAGTCGTTGTAAAAAGGTTGTTTCATGTAGTTAAGGTTGCAATTATAATTCCAGTGGGCATCAGCGAGCGCGCGGTGTCCGGGCTGGAGGTGCCGGTGACCCCCGGCGGGCGGGCGGGG